ATATGTGTATATACACACACTGCATATACTGCCACTGCCATCAAAATCACCCCTCCGCCGTCGCCAACATCACACCTTAAACTCCGCCACCGCCGCCACATCATCACACCTCAGCCGTCGGGGTTCACCCTTCACGCTTATCATCATCACACCTTCACGGGCTCCTTCTTCAGCGATGTTTTTTCGAAGCTTACCATCTGTCGCTGGGGTTCACCACCTCCTTCATGAAACCCTTGTAAGTTACAGACGAGGTTGTGGTGCTCACCATCTGCCGCCGGTGCTAACCACCTCAATTTCTCGGCCTTAGAAACCGACCGAAGCCACCTTGCTAACCCTTGCTCCGGCTTCACCTCCTACTAACAACGGCCACATCTACAAGCTTTCTCTCACATACAGAGCTCACAGCAACCCTTATCGGCGGCGAAACCACCGATTTCATCCTCATCTGCCCACATCATCCAGATCTAAAGATGACGGAACCAATTGTAGAGTCAAGCCAAACGCCCCTCCTTCAGCAATCACTCCATACTCAAAGCTTCGCTCTACACTCAAACATCAACTCTCTGCCGCCGTCAAGAATCAAAGACACCGGCGTAGGGAATATGTCTCTGTTAATCCTTGATTTGTCCGCTTCACGTCAAAAACTTGCGGCGGCGGCTGAGGAGTTATTTGAGGGGTTCTTGGAGGATGAAGGTGTCGGTGAAAGGAGTAACCAACATGTGAACGAAGGAGATGGTAAACCACTCGTCGGCCGGTGGTTGGAAGGTGTGGAAGTGGTGTCATGGCCGGGTCTGGGTTTGATAGGTTTACAATATACATATAGATATATAAATATATATATATATATATATATATGTATGTATTGGTGTAATAAATGTATAAGGGTAAAAGAGTCATTTAAAAGTTTTGATATTTTATAATTTAAATTAATAAAATATTAAAGGGCAATCTTGACTTTTTACAAAATTTAAGGAGCTGTTTGGATAAAGTTTTTGACCAGGGGGTGTGATTGTCCAAAAATAGGCTAACTTGTATCTACTTGTCCTTATGCCAAACCTCAGGGGGTGTTTGTGTACTTTACCCAATTTTTTAATTGACAATATTGTTATGAAAAGTTTTAATTATAGTAAAAGTTTCAACCCGTCATTTTAAAATGTTTTACTAATATTTTTAATTATTAAAAAATATAACAGACATTGATATGCTCTATCAGACTTCAAGTAAAAAAAATAAAATAAAAGAGATTTTCTCGTGATATTCATTCTAAAATATTATGAGTATGCATGTGGCATGCAATTTTTTTTTTTTTTTCCTCTTAGTTCGATTAATTAATAAGACATTTGAAGTACTTTTCTTAAATTGCTTGCATAGTTGTATCCGCATGTATTCAAAATTTGTAAATTATTCAACAATTCAAAATGAATTACGGCTGGTAATGTTGATATTTCATTATACAAAACATAAGATTATCTTTCCAAAATTCCATTACATTAAAGATGCAATTGATGGTTGGTGAGTTGATGAAGTCATGTGTTTGGCAACAAATTTTTGGATTTGCTTAGTTTGTTACTCAAAAAAAAAAAAATTAATAATAGTAGTTTTCACTTTTTAGAGGATTGAAAATTAAAAAATTATATAAGAACTTTGCTTTGGTTCACTTTTTAGAAAATTCAATTATAAAAATGTGTCTAATTTTTTTTGAAAAAATATTCTTAATTTTTTTTTTTTTTTGGTTTTGGGAGCGACAAGCCAAAGGAGGCCTTTCTTTTTTATTTTGAATGCGGACGGCGGTGCCAAAGTTCAAATTAAAGAAATTATACTATTGTAGAGAATCATGAATAAATATACTGTTTATGTTCTTTCTGTCCAGTTAAAATAGCTTTAATGGCAGTAAAACATTCAGAGTGACTTTGGAAATTTGAAATCCCATTAACTTCGAATTTCTGGATTTAATAACTAAGCTATAATACTTCTAAGTGGATAAAGAATACGTAATCTAATTTATCTAAACATGCAACAATTAATGTAAACTGTAGGAAATAAAAAAACACAAAGGGAAGTAAATGCTTGAAAATGAAATCTATTTGTGTATTTTGAGAGAACTATTTGATTCTCCAAGTCTTCTATATATATCTATATATATTTATAAAGACAATTCATTTTCTGCCACAATTTCTTCCTATCAGTTTTCTTTCATAACTCCCTTGACTCAAAAAAATTTTTATAATTTTTTTGGCAATTATTTTTTACCATAACTTGTTCTATGAAAATTAAACCAACATAGTTATCACAGGGATAAATTATTATATGATGAGAATTTTCGCCTAATTACAAAATAACTACTATCAAAAGAGAGTAATTTTGAGTATGAGAATGAAATAATCGTGACGGTGACGGTGACGGTTGAGGAATAATAAAGGTTGATAAGAAAGTGTATACATATAAAAATATATATTTATATATAAAAAATGACTAATTATAGAGGAATTAAAAAAAACTATTGTCAAATAATGAAAGGCATTATTTTATTTATTTATTTGTTGGTACGTACACGTTTTTATCAGTTTGTTTCCAATTTTTTTTTTAATTATAAAATATAAATATTCGAGGCCTTAATGATAGAAATATTAATAGATATAAACAAGGGTGAAATTTAATTCGTGTATAAAGTATGACTAGCCTTAGCAATGACTTCAATTGATTGAGAAGTGACACAACTACCATATAGCTAAACAGTTGAAGATTGCCATAAGAGAAAGGGACTAAAATAAACCCAATTGGATGTCCTTATCCATTCATATGTAAATCTATTATTATCTACTTACATTAAAAATAAAAAAAGTCATATATATAAATAATATATGTATATAAAATATCTCCAGTGTCTATAAAAGGTAAGATTTTTTTTTTTTTTTTCCTTATCTCGAGTACATATCTTTTTAATGTCGAAGTTACTTATAGACTCACTATCCGAAAGGAAGAAAAAAAAAAACAAAAAAACAAAAAAAACACCTTATACACATAGGGATAACCGTCAATATTATACTTATCTCTAAAATGATGATCATTATTAGATATTATTATTATTATTGTAGTGTGTGTATATATATATATATATATATATATATATATATATTTGTCCGTCAAACAAGAAGGTGGGAATTGGGAAACTTAAACACGGACATATTTATTTGGAAAAAACTCACATTATGCCAATTAAGTTTGGCATGCATTTGTTTTAGTTCTTTCGTACCAAAAAAGCACAATATTATCAATTCGGTGATATGGGTTTTGATTAAAAAAAAAAAATCAAATTTGTTATGTATTATTCTAAACTAATATCAATTAAGCCAAATATGATATTGGCCCAAATTTAAATACCAATATTAAAAAAATAATATCATAACATTACGCAAACACAAAGTAACTTATAATACCCACTATATATATATATATTTTTTTTTTTTGAAAAAATAGTAAATATGTCACTCTCTCTTTATTCTTCAATCTTTATTTGATTAAAAAACTATATTTGATTGATCTGACCTCGCTTTTCCTAGTGTAGACATGTACAAGGAAGAAGGACGTGGTACCAAATTTTAGAAGCTATAAATATGAGTATCAGTTACACACGAAATAAGGATGCATTGCCAAATTTTAGAAGCTATAATAAATATGACCATCAGTTGCATAAAGTCATTACCATATAAATGTATAGGTATTTAAAGCATATCATTGATGCGTTGATTTATACAACCCAAAATAAGCTGCCATAAATGCAGGAAAACAGGTAAACTCTATTATTTTCTCTTGGGATCAGTAGGACTCCGTGCGTCTCAAAGTATTCATGCTCTGCGTGTGTTCTTGTTCAAATTCTTATTGCATACTACTTAATTCTGTCGCTCGCTCTTGCTCTCGAATTCACTTTCACTTTTACTCCTACTTTACGTGAGTTAGATTTTAAATTGAAAATGTTCTTGAGAGAGTTTTTTTAATATCAATACAAAATTACTATTGTATTTAATACATCATTTTATTCATTCCCCATGGGTATTCAATTTTTTTTTTTTGGTCCCATGGGTATTCATTGAACATGTAAGACTTAATTAAGTATATTCATTAAACGAAGGAGTATTCAACTTCTTATTTAATTAAGTATATATTCATTGAACAAGGAGTAATTAAGTATATTCATTAAACGAAGGAGTATTCAACTTCTTATTTAATTAAGTATATATTCATTGAACAAGGAGTCTTGGATTTCTTATTTCGAGTGATTATTTGGTGAGGATGAGTAGATATTTAGGCAAAAGACTTGGACATAATTCATTTAATTGAACATTAATGTAAAAGAGAAGAAAATAGGGAGTCTCACTTTATATACTAACGAAAAGAATTCAATTAAGAAATTCGGTCAAAATTATTGGTTTTTAAATTATTTATCTATGAAATTTAATAGTTGGACAAATCAAATTGGTTTAATGAGAAAAAAACACATTCTTTGAATTGAGACGATGTTAATAGAGTTTTAAGTGAGTCTGTACTCCCGTCATAACACATTCTATATTTGACAGTATTAAATCACAGTCTTAAATTTGAAATTAAATAAAATTTAATACAAAATTTAAACTAAATTTCATATAATTTTAAATTATTGTATCCATTTAATACTTACAAACTTACTATGTATATATATATATTATTGCTCTTTAATTTTTGGATTCTATCAAAATAATGAGTTGTTTTTTGGTCCAAAATAATACTATCTCGGTTCTATATTAATTATCTATTTTAAAAACTCTAACCCGTAATTATATTTTATTTTTGAATTATATAATTTTTATATATTTATATCATATATTAAATGTTTATTTTGATAATTTTGACTAATTTTTTGAAGTGGGCAATTAATATAGGAAATAATGAATTGTTAAATTCTAGTATTTTGTTCAAGATTTTGTGTATTGTGCTAGTGCTTAGATGGCAAAGTGGGGCCATGTAGATGGACAAATGTTTCAAATGATGAGGACCTGTGTTCCAGTTGATGCAGGCTTCAGGTTCATTTGCTTCCTTATTTGAAGCGTCTCGAAGTGTCCTTCAAACCTCAATAAAAAGCAAGCTGTCCTCAACTCTTTCTCTCTCTCCTCCTTTTTTTTTTTTTTTTTTCTCTCTAGGGCCCTCTCCCTGCGAACACATCAAACTCACCTGGTTCCATTATTTAAAATCTTCTCCAAGCAACAACAAACACTCATTAACTCCCCCCCTCTCTTTTCAAATGGCCGATGTTTCTGACAAGAGAGAGTTTAGGCTTCCCTCAGAGTTTCTCAGCAACGAGCACATGTTCATGGAGAAAGAAAACTTCAACAAGCGTGGGCTCAGCTCTGCTTGGTCTAGCTTCTGCTTCCCCACTGAGTTTCCGTACAAATTCGGCTCATCCTCTGTACTCAGCTCTCCGGTGGAGTCGGTGGTCGGTTCAACCGACCCAGAGAGTGACGACGACTACTGGGACTTTCTCCACGGGTTGACTCGCCAGTTGTCTCATTCCACCCTGCAACAAACTCAGAACACGAAGGTATGAAGAATACCATCTATTTTGTTTTGTTTGGATCTGTTAATTTCGTCCAAATGAGTTCTGATTTCGCCTATGTATTGACTCAGAAAACATGGGTTTGCCCTGATTCGCCGCAATCGACACTAGCCGGAATCGGAAGCTGGTCCGGTCCAAGCGCAGTCTCTAGCAACGGAAGCCCAAAGTCACCGCCGACGACGCCTTTCACTGCTCCGATCGAACCTTGGGATCTGATATACGCAGTCGCTGGACAGTTCGCTAGCTTGAAGACGAACGGTGAAGGACCACCCAATGCCAGAGGACTTCTCGGCGACCCACGAGCTCTGATTCCCACAACTGGGTTCTACTCAAATCACTCTCTCACTCCAAATTTCTCAGAGGCCAGTCATGTAAGCTCTATTATTATACAATGTTTCGGTGGTTTGCTCGTTCATGTCCTGTTCTCTCAGATTAATTAGGGTTTTTCTTTGTCAATTGCAGTTTAATAGAGTGAGACAAGACCAAGTGTTGAAGCAACAGTACTCTTCCATTTGGGGAAGACAAGCCAGAGAGGGTTTTTCAAATCACCAAATTTCTGAAAGCAGGGAAGAGAGGCTGTGTGGGGGTTTTCAATCAAGGTGGTCTCCGGTCTGTTTACAACATCAACCCCGCCAAAATGAGCAGCAATTGCAGTGTGGTTCAGGCAAGAGAGGTGTGTTTGTTGGTGGTGGATCTGGTGTGAAGAGGAAGTGTGCTGGCACTGGTGTCTTTTTGCCTCGCAGATATGCTAACCCTTCAAATCCCAGCAAGAACACAGGTATTTTGCTGCTTTATTGGCTGCTAAGAAATCCGGAGAGAAAATGAAAAGCGCTTTTCAAATGAGTGAAATTTAGGCGCAATTTGAGCGATGCGATGTGAGGATTCATGGGTCCCAGATGGTGTGTGAATCCATGATTTGAAATCTTATTCTTGATCCAAAAATCTTTTCAATCAACCCAACAGGAGATTAATTTAGTGGTTTTCACCAACATATTCCACTCTGCGTATGAACTTCTTTTTAGTGATTTGACGTGAGCTTTTCTTTTCTACTTGTGCTTCTCCATTTTCTTTTACTTTTTTGACCAAAAGGGTTATGATTATTTTTTATCTTCCACCCCCAAATCCACTTGTGGTGAAGCATCTGCTTTCTTTTAACTTGCTCTGTTTCTTCCTCTTCCCTGTTTTAGCAGGTTGTTCAAGTGCTCTGCTCCCAGATAGGGTTGTACCCGCTCTGAACAATAATACTCAGCCTCATCCCCACTTCAATACTACTTTTACCTCGGGCTATGGTATGTTAATTTTTAACTACAATGTTTTCTCTGATATGCATTTCATGTATATATACACAAATATGTATGTCTGTGTATACTGTGTGCGCTGCTTATATATGTATATATGGGGTTTTGATTGGCAGATGATTTGAGGGGTCAGAGGAATGCAACATTGACACAGCAGAAGAGAAGTTTAGGGGCAGAAAGGGCAGTGAATCATGAAGTTGTCCTCCCTCAGGAGTGGACCTATTGATCCCGTCTTGTCAGTATCAAAGTTCTCCATGATAAGTGTTGTTTTGTTGGTGGTGATAGAAGCAAAAATAGGAAGGTAGAAGAAGCTGTTGGGATTGACAATTGGTATTTGTTTATTCAGGAAAAGAAATTGATAAAAGGACTGTAGGTAGAAGAAAAATAAGAGCTCCAAAAATGGTTTTTTTAATTTTTAATTTTTATTTTTAATTTAATTTTTTGGAGTTTTAGATTTGGAGGTTTGTTTGGAAGAATGGGCAGCAGTAAAAGGTTGGTGAAGGTGGTTTTTGGTTGTAATAGTAAATAAGTGGATAGTTTAGGGGTGTTTTTGGCAGGGTCATTGGCATATTGTTAGTGAAGTGAAATCCACAACCCTCTTCATGTAATGTTCCATGGCTGTTATAACACTAATAATATGACTAAAGTTATGTTTTTATTAGCACTGGGAATAAAAGCATTTTTTATTTTTATTTGCCAATTTGAATCAAAGTTTGGGGTTATGGTTAATTGAACATATATAAAGTTTTTGTCGTGTGGTGTGTTGAATAGAGATTTGAAGTATGTTGCTGTATGTTTAGTAATGTAAAATTTGTTGTGAGATTTTGGAAAATAAAAATATGAAACTTGTTTAATAAAAAAGTTTGTATTTATTTATTTAGTTAGGGTTCACGCTTTAGAGTGTTTTTGTTGCCATGTGAAAACATGTACTTCTACAGAAAAAAAAAATTATATATATATACTTCCTCTCATTAAAAAATGCTTAATTTCTTTTGGGGAGTAAAACTCTTTAATGGTACTTGCAATTAATGTATTATTTTCTTTTAAAATGATTAAAATATTTTTTTAAGTTTGAATAAATATATTTTTTGGGTTGAACTTAAAAAAAATAAAAATAAAAAGTATATATGGAAAAAAGCATTTGCCTTTTTTTGACTTTTTAAATTGAATTATTTTCTGATGTCCAAAAAAAGAAAAGAAAAAAAGTAGGATTGTTTTTATCGTTACAATACGTTACTAAAAAATAATAATAAAAAAATAAATATTTGCAAAATAAAAACGATTCATAAATAAATCCTTTGTTACTGACAAACCGGTTCACCGTGTATGATTTATAAATTTAAAAAAAAAATAAAAAATGAAGTGATAATAACACCCTTTACCTTCTACTTTCAAGATCCGAGGCACTTTTTTCCGATTGGTGGAAAGGAACATGCTTTGGTTCTCTTTTGACTCATGTTCCTTTATATCTGCCATTTTAAAGGTCAGGTTTATCCAATGGTGTTCGGATGTACATTAATAATACTCACCACAAACATTCATCCAACCATTTTCTTTATAAACTATATTAATGGGTTTCGTGTGCGTCACATGATTGAACGTTATGGACAAGTGGTTCCTTACTCGGGCTCCCGAAGAAGACAGGGCAATTCTACCGGGACTACGAAGGTATTCAATTGTATATTACTGTTCTTGAATACTGGTTAGATACTTTGAAATTCGAAAAAATCGATTGAGGTTTAATAGTTTATCATTAACTATAAATAAAATTCTCTGAAATTAATATTATTTTATTTTAAAAGGAGAAAAAATATTATTAGATTAAGTTTACAACTAAGTGATATCATAAGACAAATGTGATATCATCATTGAGCCATATAGAGGAGGAATAAATATTTGGTGCGCCTGCACAGTGTACCGTTCTGTACAACATGCACCTGCATGTGAATAAAACGAACCCACCGAATACCTTTTCTTAGAGGAAAAGTTATTATATGATTTTGGGTCAATCACCATCATACATATAAACAATTATGTCAAAAATGTATAATTTTTTTTAAAAAATGATTTATACATATAACCTGTACAGTCTCTAAGCATATTTTGGGCCGCATTCCAATCACCCATTTTAGGCCCTTATCTAGCCGCCAATTGCGTTCCTATTGGTTCTATTGTTTGGTTGTGGGCCTAATCCCAATTGATTTGGTTGAGGGTGGGTCCATATCCAACCACGAATTACGTTACTTCGATGAAAAGCGATGGAAACTAACCGCTAATACTAGCTGATGTGTAGAAAGGATCAAATGATAAGCTTATCTAAGGACGTTTCTGCTGCTAGCTGTTTCCCAATTAAAAAGTTATATTTAATTTCAAAAATATCATTATGAAGTTATGAACTATTGGGATCTTAAAGATTTCACAAAAAAGTTTCTTCTAAAAATTTTTCATATTAATCTTGAGACAAATAACACATGCACACCCAATTGCTTTTATGGAGATTTTTATTTATTTATTAATTAATTTTTAATCATTAATAAAAGGGTCAATTGTTAAAAAATAAATTTAAAGTATATTTACAGTACATATCATAATCACACCCATCACGTGTAAAAAAACACAAAGTTTCAATTTGGTGTAAATAGGTCCTCAACAAATTTAAACTATAAATTGACTAAATTACCCTTACTGATTCATTTTATAAAATATATAAAAATAAATAATTTTATAAAATGACCGAAAAAGACACTATTGGAGGACGCCTCTCACAGGCAAAAAACACTTCTAAAGTTTCAATTTGGTGCAAATTGGTCTCTTTGACAAATTTAACCTAATTTGACTAAATTACCCGAACCATTTTATAAAATATATAAAAATAATAATTTTGTAAAATGATAAAAAAAAGACACTATTGGAGGAGACAAACAATCGACAAGTAAAGATAAAATTAGAAAATAAAAATAAAAGTATAAAAGAAAAGTAAAGATAAAAATAGAAAAAAAAAAAAGTGCAAACTAAATAAAGCAAATCTGCTCCAAACTCCGTAAATCATTATACACTGATTAACAGCGTTGGTACGAAAAAAGAAAAAAAAAAATAATAAAAAATAATAAATTGAAATCTCAAAAAATTCAAATTTTTATTTTACAAATTTTCAAAGTTTCAAAAAAATGTTTAGAGATATATATAGATTAAAAAAAAAAAAAAAGAGGTAATGTGCACATAACACCTATATATTATGAAATTAGTAGTATATATACCTTCTTGGGTATTTTCAGAAAAGTAAAAGGACAAAACGAAAAATAGGTATTATAACACTAATTTATATCTCTCAACGGGCCAGTGACCTTGCGGTATTAGCCTCTTACCTTTAAAGGGAGGTCAGGACTTCAAGTATTAGAAGAGACAAGTGTACGTGAGTACCAACTAAAAAAAAAAAAAAAAAAAAAAAAAAAAAAACTAATTTATGTCAAATATCTGATTGAGAAATATTTTTGCATAATGTAAAAAGATTATGAATGTTTTTGCACACTTTTGTAAATATAAAATAAAAGTACTACACTAAATATAATTTAGTGTATTTTCTACACTTGTCCTTAATAAAAAAACCACATTCACACAATGGGACAAATAACACATACACACAATTACTTTATAAAGACTTCTTTTCAAATTGAAATTGAGTAGTGGTGTTCTCTCCCTTCCATTTATTTATTTATTTATTGAATTGATAAATAATATTTCAATAATTTGGATAATCTATGCCACACAGCCTCCACGATGGACTATAAAGTTGATATTGTTTGATTAAGGTCTAAAACTATGAAAATAAAAGACAATTATCAAAGATTAGACTCGACTTATTTAATGGTTCTTAATAATAAAAAATGGTTTTAGAGAGCTATCACCATATCAAATGAATTTTATAACCCATAAGTGTTTTAGTAATCTTAAACTTCAAAAGCCTTTTTATATAATGTTTTTATTTTTTTTATTATAATAAAACACTCACGTATTTACTCTTCTCTGCGAAGACTTAATCCTTTACTTTAAAAGATGGTTAAGTACCACCAAACATTATAATTATTGATAAAAATTCTTTGTTGTTTATTGAGTGGATTCCAACGGCATCTGTTTATAATTTATAAGTGTTATTTTTTTTCCATTGTTATACGGACTAATTCATAAGTTAGTTAACTAAACTTGGCTGCAAGGTTAAGGTCAACAAAAAAGAAATCCATACACCTGTTACAATCTCCATTTAAATTATTTCCGCATATTTTGTCAGTATCTTTATGTTGTTTTTAGCTGCATTAATTGATTAACAAATCTCCATTTAAATTATTTCCGCATATTTTGTCAGTATCTTTATGTTGTTTTTAGCTGCATTAATTGATTAACAAAAGCGTGAGATTTGTTTCTAATCAATTAGTAATCCAATCGTAAAGGCCATCTATTTAATCATTGTTTCTAACACAACCCAGAGCAAAAACACAATAAAGAAATTTAGTACAAGGTGACAACAATATCGTCAGCTAATAAAATGTTAATGCGTATAAGAATGGTATAATTGAATGGTACTTTTTTTACCTTTCAAAATAGAAAGTAATAAAAATAAATTGTGTGTGACAAAATAATAATAACAATAGTAAAATAAAAACAACACAAATGTATATACCTATCTAAGAAATTTGCATGAGAAATGGAAATAAAAATGAACCGCCAATGATTTTTTTCCGTATTTCAAAATATGGTTGACCAACATGTTAACTAATTATAAATTCACTTATTTTGACTTTTTTTACTTCATATTGTATGGTGGATCTCGAAAGATATGAAAGATCTCCCCCAAACGTACATACGACTTTAATCGAATACGGCTTTTCACAACGGAAAGAGTTAAAAGTTATTGGATGTTGTTGGAGATGATGGTTACTAAAAGCCTATCTATAAATATTTTTCTACTGTCTATAAATATTTTAGTAATGAAATTTTTGAAAACCAATTAAAGTCACAGCAAAATACACAATTATAGCTTACTGTACTCAAAGTGCTCATTCTCATAATGACACCCTCATCTAGTTTTAAGATTAGGTGCTAACTCTCAAAATTGACACTACATCTATTTATAGGCTTTATCATCTTTAATATACGGGTAGGATGTATATATTGGAATAAATAGTTGAGATCTACTTTCTAATAACTCAACTAAAATATCTACTGTGTGTAAAATTATTTACTCTTCTAGAATATTATATATGCTCTACTATATAACTTTTCCAACAGTCTATAATCTTGACTGTCAACACCCTATAAATTTTTACACAAATGCAAAAGAATCTAGAACTCAACCTTTCACATAAACCATGGGAGAAGTGGTTGAGGGACGCAACATCTCTTCAAAATAGGCTAATTTCTAAGATGCATGCTCACGGTCTTGGCACTCAGCACCAGTTAGAGCATTAAGCGACTTAAGTGGTTGTCTAAGATCCCAACCAATAAAAGGCCCAATTTTTTTTTTTTTCTTTATGTATTGTTACATCTTTAAATTTTATTTTATTTCTTTATATATTTTTAGATCCCAACTAGTAGAAGAAGCTTCAAAATATTTTTATTTCCTTATATTGTTACCTTTCTAAATTTATTTTATTATATTAGTATCTA